GCCAGAGAAACACTGATCAGTTGCCTCTGGCGCACCCCCCTCCTGGGGGCCTGGCCCGCAACCCAGGCCTGTGCCCTGACTGGGCATCGAACCAGCGACCCTGTGGTTCGCAGGCCGGGGCTCAGTCCACGGAGCCGCACGGGCCAGATCCAGGCTCTAAGCGTTTTACTCTCCCATCCGGACTCATCCTCCGAAGCATCAAGCATCACTTCATGGTTTTACAACTCCAAACGTTCGGTGTTCACGTCTTAGTTTTACTGTCACTGAATTTGGTCAGAAAAACTGATCGATGCAGAATTTTGTCACTCTGTCCGGATTTGGTTTTGTAACCTTGTTATGTGCCCGCTGTTGGTAAATAGTCCACGTGTTCTGGACAAAATGAACTCTTCGGCTTGCGGTGCAGGGTCCGCGTGTCCGCTGAAGCATGCTCCTTAACTGTGCTCTTCCCTTCCTTGCGAGCTTCGCTGATTTCAGGCCTGCCTTGCCCGTTGCAAGAGCCGCACGGTCCGGTTTCCTTCCGGGGCTGTGGATTTGATCACTGGTTCTTGTCGTTCTGCCAATGTTTGCTTCCTGGACCTCCAAGCTGTGTTTCTGGTACACACAGTTCAGAGTCAACAAACCTTCCTGGGAAGCTGCTCTGTGGTCATATCGCGGCCACTCTGTTCCTAGCCACACGGTCTTGCAGCCTATGTCAGCTGGGGCAATGGAATGAGAACAGCTTTCTGACGAGCAGCTGCCCAGCATCAGTCCTGACCTGCTCTCACCGTGCCCTTGCCATGAGGTCCCTGACACACTCCGCGCCCCTGTGCACGGGACACACTCGGCACACCTGCCCCGCACAGCCAGGGTCCCCGGCGCACTCAGCGCGGCCGCACACGCCCCGCCCACCTGCGCGCCAGCGCCCAGGCACAGCTGCGCGCCTGGCCTGCCCTGGGGTCTGCACTGCGCTTGCCCCACTGCCGAGCTCACGCAGCAACTGGCGTTTCCCGCACGACCCACCGGGTTCTGGTTCAGGCCGGCCCGTCCTTCCCCCGGAACCTTGTCTCTCTTCACGCCGCTCCTCTCGTTCCGTCCGTTCTTCCCCGTGTGGGTCGCCGTCTCCACTGTGACGGGCCCCCTCTCCGACATTCCCTGGGGAACGAAGGCGCCTACGGCCGCCTGCCGGCCGCCCCCAGCTTGTGGTGGCCCCTTCCGTGCGCTCTGCTCTTTCCGAGGGCGAGCCCACTGTTGCTGGCTGACCAGGCAGGACTGCATCGAGCTTCACCCCGCAGTGCTATGTTTGCTTCTGTCTTGGGCCCAGGTTTCTGATGAGTTCACCTGCCACCAGGTGATGGGCCTGGACTGGGAAACCTGAAAACCCCTGAGCCGTGGTTACAAACTCTCAGTGGAAGTGTATCCACGCAGGCAGGGATACAACTCCAAACGCTCGGTGTTCACGTCTTAGTTTTACTGTCACTGAATTTGGTCAGAAAAACTGATCGATGCAGAATTTTGTCACTCTGTCCGGATGCCATGGGCCCCACGTCACCGTCCCCGCCCCTCCCAAGGGTGTCGCCTGTGGGCGGCCTGTCCTCTCCCTCTGGTGTTGGGGCGCACGGCCCTGGGCCGCCCTTCCCTGTCTGCCTCTTCTGGCTCCCGTGACACTGGCCCTCTGTGGGCCCTGGTCCGCAGCACAAGACCACGGCCCACAGCTTCTATTTGCAGGTTTCACAACTGACTCCAAGTCTGTTAGATGCATGGCTGTGTGACCTCCCAGTCCCGCTCAGCAAGCCCCAGCCAGAGCTGCGGATTTCCTCACCCCCCGCCCGGGTAGAAGCAGCCCCACGCCAGCCGCAGAGGATGGAGCGGCCGCACCCCTGCGTCCTAGCATTTCTTTGGCCGAGCGGCCAGCCTGTCCTCCAGAACCTGCTGCCTGTGGCGGAGGCTGGCCTCTCCCGCTGCTGCCGGCCTTCCCCAGGCTTCCGAGTGGGGCCCCGCCCTGCGCACGCTGCCATCCACGCCGCCCCGCCCGCAGCCGGGAGCAGGACCTGAGCCCCCAGCCTGCACGTCCAGTGTCCCTCCGCTTCCCCCATTGCAGCCCTCTGCCCCTGCACTCACGTCAGACCTCTGAGTTTGCAGCCCCTTTTTCTGGAATGTTCTTTCCTCCGACCTCTGCAGGGCTGCCCCCTCCCCCCATTAGGACTCCAGGTCTGTCCTCTCCTCCACGACCCCTCCAGGCCCCACCACGGGGCTGTCAGCTCCAAGGCTCCTTTGATGCCTCCAGGGACTCCCCCACATGCACACAGAGGGGCCAGCGGACCCTCAGGGCACCCTGGGCCTCATGGTGAGAGAGGGAGGAGGCCCGCAGGGAGGCCTGGTGTCCGGGCCGTCGGTGCCGCTTTCGCTGGACCAGAAGCTGCACCGTAAGGCCACCTCTCCGTGCCCACAGGAGAGTCGGGGAGTGGTCCTGGGGTGGCCACGATGCTCCCCCAGGAACCGTGCGTACGGGAGGAGTGTCCTGCAGCTACTGACGGTGGTCGCAGGGCTGCCCAGTGTCCCCATGGACCCCCATTTACACATTGCGCAGGCACCTGAACACGGCGCGGGGCGCTCGGAACAACTGTGAGAGCTCGTTAGCTACCCACGCAGAGAAAAGGAAAATGTTAACTCCTGGCAGTCGAAGCACTCTTGCGCTCCTTGAGGAAGGGAGCGGGTGGCAGGGGTGCCGCCCCTGCCTCCAGGGACCTGGTGGGGAGGGCCCGGCCCCTCCCGAGAGGCCCTCCCGGTCTGGCGCGCGGGCTCGGGTGGTCTTCTGCCGTCGTCGGCAGAGTTTGGTTTGCTCCCACGGAAGGCGGGGCTCAGGGACCAGGACATTCTTTGGGTCCAGCTAAAGACCAAAGGGAGGAGTTCTCCTGGGAGGGGACAGCTTATCAGGAGGAGGTGACCGCTCGGCAGGCCAGGCCCAGTTCTGGGCGGCGGGCCCCTCTGTGGGCTGTGGCGGAGACAGCAGGGCGGGGGTAAGCCCCTCCCGGCCCTCTCACCGGCCCCTCCTGAGCATGGAGGAGGCACGCAGGGGCAGGCGCATCTCCACAGAACAGGGTTCCGCCTCAGAGACGTGGGGCAGGCGCAGCAGAGGCCCCGTCCTCGGGTCACTGCGCTGCTGCAGGAGAGCCCACACGGAGCGGAAGCGCCTGCCCCGGGCTTAGGGTGCCGAGCAGGAGGTAGCCGCGGGGAGAGCGGGGAGGCAGCAGAGGCCACGCGTGTGACAGGCGGGAAGAGGAGCCGTGTGGCTGAAGGGTCACCAGGAGGCTGGGGCGAGAGGGTGCCCAGCCCAGGGCTGCTGGGGTGGGAAGCCTTAAAGGGTTTTGAGTAGAAGATGATAGAAACTGATTTATGTTCCAGGGCCGGTCACAGGAACAAAATGACATGGCTGGTCCTGCTCTGGGCAGCTGCGAGGTGGCAAAAGCAGCTACCGAGGGGCTCCCTGGATCTCAGCAAGGCAGGTGCTGAGGCAGGACAGGAAGAGGGGAGGGGCCGGCCCCGGTCTCGGGAGTGGCCCTGGGCCAGGGCGGTGCTCGGTGCAGGACCCCCGGCCTGAGAAACCGTGGGTGGGTGACACAGGCACCCCGGTCTGGGGTTTCAGGCTCTTCCTTCTGGCTCCTTCTGCCTCTATGTTGTCTGAGAAAGTTCTTTAAGAGGTTTGCTACATGTTCATGCATATTCTGTCTCCCCCCCTCCCCCACCGTATGTCTTGAGTAATTGCCTTTGGGAGGCACCAAGCAAGGGTTTAAAAGCATTTGTTTGGTGCTGGCTGGTGCAGCTCAGAAGGTGGAGTGCCGGCCTGGGAACCGAAATGTCACTGGTTCGATTCCCTGTCAGGGCACAGGCCTCGGTTGCGGGCCAGGCCCCCAATAGGGGGTGCACAAGAGGCAGCTGATCGACATCCGGATGTTTCTCTCCCTCTCTCACTCTCCTTCCCCCTCTCTAAATATAAATAAAATCTTTTTTTAAAAAAGGCGTGTTTTTTTTGACAAAGATACCCAGTTCCCCATCATCCTTTATGAATCCTTCTACACTTTCTCACTGACTTATTAATAATTAAACAGATGGACATCAGGGATGATTTCCAGATGGCTCTACCTGCCCCAACGATTCAGCGCTCACCTCTTCTGGACACAAGGGTCTCCCAGGGCTGGCCTGCGGCTCTTCCCATCACTGGATAACCTTGCCTTGGGGCGAGGCTAACTCCCTCAAGGGCCAAGGTCCCTTCTGGACTTTTTTTTTTTTTACGTTGATGTTAGGGGGTGGGGGCGGGGAGAAAGAAACAGACATCGATTTGTTGTTCCACTCACCTCTGCATCTATTGATCGACCCTTGCACGTATCCTGTCTAGGATGGGGACTACACGGTCTAGCCAACTGTGCTACCCCGCCAGGGCCCCTTCTGCACTTCTAAATACAGGCCACTCTCTCGGGCTGGGGGTGGTGGCCAGACAGACTGGGGCGTGGACTCTGGTTCAGCCACACCTGGCCACCTCCCAAGGACCCTCCCAGCCCAAATCCAGGAAGCCCCTGCTCTGCCTTCTTGATCTTGGTGCTGGTTTCTAGCGCTGTGCTAGCAGTAGTCTAGGGAAGTGCGTTCAGGCTCCTGTCCAGGCTGCCCTGCTTGGGTAGGCGCAGCCCAGCACGTACGTGTGCGGGGGAGGAGGTGTGCAGGTGCGGCTCTGTGCTTGCGTGTGCAGGGCAGGCGTGTGCAGGTACCTCTGCGGGTGCGGGGCAGGCGCAGTCCGGTGGTTGCGCGTTTGGGGCAGGTGCGTGTTTGGCGCAACCGGAGGGAGGGGGCATGGAGGCACAAGCCTGGCAGATGCTGGTGCGGGGCTGGAGCCGGCGTGCACTGCCTGGCCACGGGCGGGGCGGGCGGGCGCCGTCTGCAGCCGCCCGCGTGGAGCTGCGCGGCGCCCGCGCCGGGAAACAGGAGGCCGCCGGGCCGGAAGCCCCGCCCGCGCGCGCGCGCGCGCGCCTGTCCCCGCCCGCCCGGTGGAGCGGCTGCTGGCGCGGCGCGGCGCGGCTCGGCACGGCGGCGCCCGGGCGCAGGCAAGCCGGCGGAGCAGCGGACGGCGCCCAGGCCGCCCCAGTCGCCGGGCTCGCGGCGGAGATCGCCGGACTCGTCGGAGCCCACGGCCACCCGCGCCTTTCAATGGGCAGCTCGCACTTGCTCAACAAGGGCCTGCCGCTGGGTAAGGCCGCGCGCGCGCATTTCCGGCCGCGGGGGCGGGGCGGCGGGCGGGGCCGCCGCTTTGTGTGCGAGTGCGCGTGCGTGCCGGCGTCCGCGCGCCGCCGGGCCTGGGGAGGGGCTGGTCCAGGGAACGCCGAGCGCGTGCGCGGGCTGCTGCGTGCGAGTGCGCTTGCGCCGGTGCCGCCCTCACGTCCGCCGCCCGCGCAGGTGACACAAAGGGGCGCCGGGCCCCGACCCTTCAGTCCCCGCTCCATCCGCCCCTCGCATTCTGACCCCTTGACTCCCAGTCCCAGGCCTGTCAGAACCCCTGAGTCAGGTTCTCCCAGACCCCCGGTGCCCGGCCCCTCCGGAGCTCAGATCCCAGACTGCCGGTGCTCGGCGCCCCCCGGACCCTGGTTCCCGGCCTTCCAGGCCCTGGTGCCTGACCGTAGGGCCTCGGTCCTTAGCCTTCAGGCGGGTCTGTGCTGGAGCCACGGGCTTCGTCTCCACGAGGCGAAGCCTCTGCCTCATTTATCACTTCCTGTTGTAAATACTGCCCCAGGGCTTGAGTAGGCGAGGGACTGACACACACGAGTGGCACAGCACACGATCAACTGCAAATGGCTTGTTTTAGAAGGCAGGGAAAGACCGTGCGTCCTGAGGACGTGAACTGCATTTTGGCCCCGTGGGACTGGCCGGCCCTGGGGCTCGCGGGCCTGTCCTGCTGTGGACGCTGGGCTGATGGAGGGATTGCGGCCCTCGCACTGGAGGGTCTTCTCTGAGGAGCAGGGGTCGGGGAGCAGCGTGTCCTCCAGCTCCGTTATTCATTTGGGGGGGTTTCAGCGGCGCTTAGTTTTATAGGTGGCTCTGTATTGTCATTGGGGTTTCGTCCATTTCTAAAAATGTATAAAATTATAGTCTAGTTGGTGGGGTAGGCGACCCCTCTGTGGCCTTCGGCTGGCAGAGCCTTGCAGCCCCGTCGTGGGTGCACAGGTGGGGGGAGCAGGAGGCCCCCAAGCGCTGCAGCCGCATCTGCGCAGCGCTGCCGGAACTTAGCAAACTGCACGCCACAGCCCCTTCCTGAGCCGGTCTGTTTCCACCTTAATAATTCAACAGCTTTGGACCCAATTATGGTTGTCACAGGGCACCCTTTCCCCCTCCTGTCCGGGAGACCTCAGACACGAGGGCCCTCGCGGGTACTCTAAGCCACACGAGGCGGGGGCGCTGGGCCTGTTGCGGGGGCGGGCTGGGCTGGGGACGCCCCTCGGGTGGCAGTTGGCCTGATGATAGCCTGCGTTCCTGTCTTGTCCGACTGCTGGTGGCCATCTTGCCCAGTTTACAGTCCTTGTCAACTTCCAGCCGCGGGCTGGGGCCTCCTCGTTGGGAGGGGCCGCTGCGGGCGCGGCCGGGAGGGGCCTGCAGGTCCGCCCCGGGCTCCTGGGCCTGGAGGGTCCATGGCTTCCTCTTCGCCGCCCCTCCCCCGAGCCCTGGGCTGGGAGTCTGGCCTGCGGGGGGGGCGGGGCTGCCACCACACCTGAGCCCGGGGGTTGGAGACTGGAGCCGTCTCTGGCTGGGCGCCCAGCCCCGTCTCTGCCTGCCTGCGGAGAAACCAGGGTGCCGCCTCTGAGGTGCCCGCGAACCGGCCTTTATGCTGGCGGTTCCTGGAGCAGCCGGAACCTGGCCAGGAGCCAGGCCCCTTCACAGCAGTGACCTCTGCGATTGGTTAGGGATAGGGCAGACTGGCCTTCCTGTTGGGGGAAGGGAGCCGCCACCTTGGAGAGGTGAACAGGATGGCTTTCTTCCGGGTGCGCGGAACCACCCTGCACCCAGCTCCTACTCCCCGCAGCGGCTGGAGGGTCAGGCTGCATGCACAGTGGGGCTCGGGGCCTGGACAACCTGCCTTTTCTCCCCTACTTGGGACCTGTCTTCTCGAAGTAGCAACTTCATGTGTGTAGAACTACACTCAGCAGACCCCGGGGCCCCGGGGCCTCTGTGGGGCACTGCAGCCCATCTGCTCTGCAGGGGGCATCCCAGGTCCTGCTGCGTTTAGGTGCCCTCACATGCACCCCCCGCCCCCAGCAACTTCAGGCACAGACGAGCACCTCTCTGCAGGAGCAGGGCGCTTGGGGTTCAGAGGTGCGTCAGGCCTCAGCTTCCTCTGGGCCCGTGGCTGCAGGCAGAGCACTGGGCCGTTGAAGGGGCTTTTCTGCTGATGGTTTGTCACCTGCCCTTGGAGTTTCCTGTGTGAGCAGCCCCAGGGCAATGCCATCGGGGCTCACCTTGTTGTGGGGTTCAGGGGTGGGTGCGGTGATGCCTCTCAACAGCAACCTGTGCTGTAGCCGAGACCCCCTCCTGCCAGGTCCCGGTGCCACCCGTGGTCAAAGGCGCGGTGGGAGCCTTTCATCCTGTGACAACTGTCCTAGAAGACCCAAAGTTTCCCTCCGCCAGTGGCATGAAGGAGGCCGTGCCGGGCGTGTCCCGGCCCTCGCTGTGTGGGGCACCTGGCCCAAAGCCCCGGCGGCCCTGGCACTGCCGTCTACACGAGTGAGGGCGACATGCCGGGCTTCCCCTGCCCCTGCGGACAGGACCTCACACCCCATGTCAGGGCTCGCCGACCCCAGGAGGTCAGCCTCAGACCAGCCTTGGGCTGTGCGCTGGCCTGGGACCCTGGGGTCCTGGAGGCCTCCGGGAGGCCATGCGCATCCTTGCCCGCGGCCAGGCCGCTCGGGCAGGCCTGCTGTGACGCTGACGCCCGGGCGAGGCTCGTCCTGCCGGAGCTTCTGCCTCGGTCGTCTTGGGGAGGCGGTCCCTTGTGTCACCCTCCGCCCTGGAGCCTGGCTACAGATGGTGACAGGGTGGGGCTCTACACCCGGCCGCAGGGAAGGGTGAGGACGTGGTGGGGCTGGAACCCGGGGTGGTTCCAAAGAGGTCAGGAGGTCTGGCTGGGGGGAGGGGCGCGGGCAGCACTGCAGCCCGAAGGCGGCCCTTGGTGGCCCCGCGGCTGTGGGCTGCGCTGGGTGGGCCCGGTGCCCACCGCGGCTCGTTGGGGCCCCCGGGGCAGGGGCTGTGACTCCAGTTGGCTGACCGCTCACCACAAGGTGTGTCTGAGTTGGACCTGCGCGTCCTGGGGTCCCCACGTGGGGTCCCCCTGCTGCAGTCGTGACCTGTCGCACACAGGGGCGTCTGTTGCTGCCCCAGCGTCCCTTCTGTGAGCACGGAGTTCCCGCTGCAGGGTCTGGCCGTGGGGCTGGGGCGGTCGGGCCGGTCGCCGAGGCCCAAGAGGAAGCAGGGCTCTGGGGCCATGTCTTGTATTTTGGGTGTGAGAAGTGTGAGCTGCGAGGGGTGACAGGTCTGGGGGCTCAGCCAACCCCGCCCGCCGAGAGTGACCGCGCCGTGGAGAGCCGTGGCCGGCGAGCGGGGCGGCCGAGCAGACGGTCTGTGGCGCCTGATGCGGGTGGGAGCGCCTGAGCCGTGCCATTGCGTCCCGTGCGGGCAGGGCCCTGGCCCAGGCACCAGGCGTGCAGCGGCCGTGCAGGACGTGGCTGACTCGGGACGGCCACGGAGGCCGCGGGCCCGGCCGCCGGAAGGCGGTACTTCCTGTGGGGAATCGGCTTGACACTCTGGGGACCATGGGAGTGTGAAGGGTGAGGGTTCGTTCCGGTTGGGCTGCGATCTTTGGGGGTCTCTGCGAGCGCCTCCTGCCCGTGCCAGTCCCCCACTGTTGTGACATGCGGGCCTGGGGGCCTGAGGAAGCCCTGCCGCGCCAGCCGAGACCTGGCTGTTGGCCACCACGTGGCCTGAGGTTGCTGCCCTTGGGCGGCCTGTGTCCTCGGGCTGGTGCTGCTCCAGGCCCGTCACAGGCCTTGCTGTCCCTGTGCTCCTCTGTGGAGACGGGGGGGGGGGGGGGGGGGGGGGCTGGCTCGTGACCCACCGGGCCCCGCCCACCCCCACCTGCTGCCAGTGGTGAGGGGCCCGAGGAGGGACCATCACCGAGGACCCTCAGGGTCTTTGGGCTGCCGCCCTGTCCTGGAGCAGCCCCCAGAAGTTTGTGTTTTGGTCTGTGGGGTGATGGCCGTTGAGCTGTGACTCACTGAGCGCTTTCTGCAACGTGACGACACTCGGTTCCCCGTGTTGTGTGTCTTCCCGAGACAAGCCCGTTGCAGAGCTGAGAGCCGAGTGCGGCTAGCAGGGCCTCCTGGCATCGAGTCCGTCACGCTGGAGCCGGCGTCCCTGTGGCTTGACCTCTGCACACACTGCAGGGTGGGCGTGGTGGGGGCAGGGACGTGTGGCCTGGGTGGAGCCCCATCCTGGGCCCACCTCCCGCCCTCCACGCCCGGGAAGAGCTGGTGGCTGTGGCTGCAGAGGGGCTGGGAGGGAGAGGCTCTGCTGCCCGCAGTGGAGGGCGGCCCGGCCAGGCCGCGGCCGGGCGCGGGTGCAGGTGGGGGTCAGGCCTGGTGGGGGCGGGGGCCTTAGTGCGCGTGCCCTGTGGGATGGAGGAGGAGCTGAGCTTGCTGTGGGCCCAGGCGGCGCAGCACAGAGCCTGCCGTGGGGAGAAGGGCCCTTGGGCCCCTCAGTCATTGGTGGGAAGCCATGTACTGTGTCCCGTGGGGGCAGCCAAGGAGGGGTCAGTGTGGGTGCCTGACCCTGCAGAGGGACTAGATGGGAGACAAGCCCAGCCTCAGAGGCGGCCTTGGAAGGCGGACGGCCCCCGCAGCACACTCAGCCCCCGGTGCGGCTGCCGTGGGCTGGTGGCCCCGCAGCCCTGGGCCTCGTCAGGGCTGTCCTCGGCTGTGGCGGGGTCAGGCCGCCCAGTCGCCCTGGGGCTGGCCGTGGGCGGGGACGCTCCCCTGCTGCGGAGCCTGCCCCGGGCAGCCGCCCCGGGCTGCCTGACGTCAGGGCGCACACCTGTGGTGTCCGGCGTCTGTCGGGTCGGCCCCTGTGCTCCTTCCCAGCCCCCACAGCCTCCGCCTGGTCCCTGGCAGGTGCACGACCCTGCACACGCTCGCCCTGTGCGTGAGCCGTCCGTGCTGCTGGGCCCTGGCCACCGTCCCCTCGTTATGCCGGGGAAGAGCTGTGCGGCGCTTTGGGGACAGCCGTGCCTCAGTCGAGTGCTGGCCCCGGGGGCGCTGTCGGGGCGGGACGGTGGTGTGCGAGCCGGCCTGGGGGAGCCCCACCTGGGCTCACGTGTGGGATGCAGGAAACTGCTGCCCCCGTCAGGTCTGCGCCCGCGGCCCCTCCACGGTGGCCTCTCTGGAAGCCACAGCGGCCCAGGACGCTATCGGGACCTGAGATGGAAGCTTCCCGGCTGCAGGCTGCAGACCTGCTCCCCGCGCCCTGCACTCCCGGGTCACAGACAGCGGTGGCGTCCGGGTGGGGCAGAGCCCCAAGGTGGTCCCCAAGCGCATGGAGGGGCGCGGGGGCTGGACCTTCGGAGCAGGCCTCTTTGTCCGCACCCTCCCGGCCGCGTCCCTGCAGCCGCTGCCGTGCCGGGCCGGGCCCTGGTTCCAGGTAGGTCCCCGCCCAGCATCCGCGGGCGCGGGGCCGACAGTGCGGCGAGCAGCCCCACCGTAGTGGAAGCTGCGCAGTGTGCGTTCCGCGTGACCCTCGATGGTATTTTAACGTCTCTCTTGTGTTTAATTTTTAGTCAGACTTTGACCCCGGCGCAGGCTTCAGTGGTCGCCGTGGATCAGGAGTCTAAGAGCTTTGGTTCGAGACAATTAAAGACGTGGGATGAGGATCCAGTGACAGGACGCGGTTCTGCCTGGGGATTCTGAAGATAAAACGCGTTGAAAAGTGGAATTCATGGTCGTGGAAGCCAAGCCCATATTAGGCAATGTCAGGTTGGTAGGGGCGCTGAGTGCGAGCACTTGGAACCCGACCCTCCACCCCACCAGGAGGCGCTGCGCCCGGGACTGTGGTCAGTGTCCTTGGGTCCCGGGTGCCGGCCCTTCAGCGGGTCAGGACGGCGATGCTGCCCAAGGGAGCGTTTTCTGCGTTTCTGGAACAGACGCCTGGTTGCCCACGTTTGCTGCTGCACGTGGTTTCTGCCTAGAGGTGCTGAGGGAAGCGGGCGTTCAGTCAGGACCCACGAGCGGCAGTGAGGGTGGGGGCCCGCAGTTGCTGCCGCTGCCCCCGCCGGCAGGCAGGTGGGCGTTGCCGTTGTTCCGGTCGCTCTGCGAACTCGGTGCTGGGTGTTCCTGTGTGAAGCGCGCGGTTGTACGCCTGGCCGTCCCCGGGCAGGGCTGTTGGCCCGGGGCCCCGCTGCTGCGCTCGGCAGCCCTGTGGTGGCATTTCATCTGCTTCTCCCGAGTCACGCTGCTCTGGTCTCCAGCAGAGGTTCCCCTGGGCAGCGGTTTCAGACTCTGCGTTGCCACCTGCTTTATGCTGAGGCCACTGAGGACCCTGCATTCGGTTCACGTGGGTTGTGTTGATCGGCGTTGATTTGTTAGAGATTAAAGTGGAGAAATGCTGAAAATAGGCACGTATCAAGTCACTAAAAAATAGCAGCGATGAACCGTTGCACCCTGATACAAGGAGCACTTTAAAACGAGAAGGTTCCGCGGCAGCGTGGATGGACCTGGAGGCCGTCCTGCTCAGTGAGAGAAGCCAGTCAGAGAAAGACGAGTGCCTAGGGTCTCCCTTGTGTGTGGGATCCAATGAACAAGCTGAACTAACAAAGCGGAGGCGGACTCAGAGGGAGAGCAGGCTGACAGCTCTCGCAGGGGGCGGGGGCGGGGGCGGGGGGATGAAGCAGAAAAGAAAACGGACTCTTGGACGTGGACAGCAGTGCGGGGATGGGGGAGGGGTAGAAGGGGACTAAACAGTAATAGGGGGAAATGCATGGAAAGGAAAAGGAGAGTTACTCTGCAAGCAGAGCTGGAGAGACGGTGGCGTGGTCGCGTGTGCACAGCTCTGCTGTCCGGGCGGGCGGGCGGGCGGGCCTGGGGACAGGGCAGGCCCACGTCGGGGGCCACTGGCCGGCAGGTCTCAGCACCTCTGCATCTTTGCTGTTCATGAAGGCGGTGGGTGGGAGGCGTGGCCGAGATGGGCAGTGGGGGGCTGGCACGGTCACCCCACGTCTGGCTTCCGTCCTGTGCCTGGCAGCTGCCCTGCGCGCCGGCCTGCATGCTGGTCCCCGGGCGAGTCTCCGCGAGGCTGGGGGTGGGGGTAGGCGGGGGGACAGGGCGGGTGCGGCCCGGCCTGCACGGCGCCCTCCGCGAGGCCCTCGCACCCTCCTCAGCCCAGGGTGAGGCAGAGCCGCCTCCCGCTCGGAGGCGCTGGCTGCAGCCACTCCGCCCCTCACGTGGAAGGCGGGGCCCCCACTGCCTCCCAGGCACCCGCCCTTTCCGGTCCAGCGATGCCCTAGGAGACGGCCCTGGTGGGGTTTGGGGGCAGCCAGGCTGCAGCCCGAGGCACGTTCCGCATGATGTCAGGCCCTGCGTGTTCCAGCCGCTGTGGCGGGCCTGCGAGGTCGCAGGGCCCCCCCGCCCACTCAGGCTGTCTCTGGGCTCTGCGTCCGCGGGGCACGGTGACGGTCACTGCTCGTCTGTCCGCGCGGGCGCCCGCGAGCTGTTGTGAACACCGGTCTGTTTCTCGTTTTCCCCACTGGGTTTCCACGTATGCTGACAAGGACCCCGGTGGCAGGACAGTGAGCGTTTGTCCCCAGGGGTGGTGGTGTTGGGCTGGTGGGGGCAGCAGGTCCCTTGGGGCCCCCAAGGGGAGGCTGAGTGGCCGCGTCTGTCGTTGCAGGCGTCCGACCCCCGATCATGAACGGGCCCCTGCACCCCCGGCCCCTGGTGGCGCTGCTGGACGGCCGGGACTGCACGGTGGAGATGCCCATCCTCAAGGACGTGGCCACAGTGGCCTTCTGTGACGCGCAGTCCACGCAGGAGATCCACGAGAAGGTAAGAGGGCGGAGGTGCTCGGGCGCCGGGGGTGGCCGGCGGGACCTGGGGGGTTCGGTGGCGCTCGCCGTCCCGGCCCATCCTGGGGGGGCTCTTGGTCGTCTCCATCGTAACCATTTCCCAGAAAGCGGAGCCTGGGGACGTGCATGCAGTGTCTTCCCAGTCCCCGCTAGCTGGGCCCTCACCGCTGGCATCTGCTCCGAAGGTCATGCGGTCCCCAGGGTGTGAAGGACGTTAACCTGGTTTTCTGTTTGTAGTCATGGCCGACTAAGCCCTTCAGAGCAAGCTTTCTGCTGAGACAGGGGAGGAAGGTGGACACAGTTTAAAAACCCCAACAGCTTTCGAGAGCCAGCAGGCCTGGAGAGGCCGGCGCCTGCAGGGACGGGCAGGCCTGCCAGCGGGGCCTGGTGTCTGCTGGTCTGGAGGAGGCAGCTGGGGGGCCGAGGCAGCTTTCGGCAGCCTTGCCGCGGCCCTGGAGCAAGGACAGAGTGGGAGCCAGCGTGCCCTCACGCCGCCTGCGCCGAGCCCTGAACTCGGGTTGCGGGTGAGCCCCCCCCCCGCCGGCTCCAGCAAACGGTGCCAGCCCCTTACGAGGGGCTGCCGCCGGCCTTGGGCTCCGCTGACTTCCGTGCGTCGTTCCTAGTGCTGTGTCTGCCCCACAGCCGAGGGTGACGGGGCAGCGGAGGCGGGGAGGGCCGAGCGGAAACCCTGGGCGCGGGCACAGGGACAGCCACAGCCGGAAGAGAGCCGGGCGGGAAGCTGACGAGGAGCTGGCAGCTGTAGAAAGTGACGGAGCAGGCGTGGGCAAACGTGTTAGAGGGTCTAGAGCTGAACAAGCAAAACTGAAAGCAAGACCTCGGTGGGCAGGAAGGGGCTGGGACCTAGGCAGGAAGGGTGGGGTGAGCGGCCACGGTGTGGTCTCCTCGCTTCTGACGGGGCCTCGGGACGGCGGCGGGCGGGCCCGGAGCAGTGGCGGCCGAGCTGCTGGCTGACCGCTCGCACTGCCGATGGGGACAACGGAGGAGGTGAGCCTGCGGCCCCGGGAAGACACATGGGATCCCCTTCAGAGCTGGGCACACGCCTGTCGCATGCCCACACGGTCGCACTCTGGTGTTCGTCCCGGACAAGCGCAGCTCCCGTCCTCAGGAGAGCTGGCACGGAAGGGCGCAGCAGCTTCACTCCTCGCGACTGGACCCAGAAGACGCAGGCGGCCGTTCCCTGTGCTGGGAACGCAGTAGAGGGCACGGGCTGCCAACTGACCCGCTAACCTGCTGGGTGGCGCTGGGCCCCAGTGCTGGGTGCGAGGCTGACCTCTAAGGGCGGTGTGGGTGACACTGGTCCCTGGCCCGGGGCAAGATGATGGTGACGGGCGTGGCGGGGGCCTGCGTGGGGGCGCGCTCAACGGCGGCGCTGACGCGTGGCGGGTCTGTGGTGCTGGCGGCCCTGTCCTGTGTCCCAAGGTGGCTACATGAGTGGCAGGCGATAAACCACGTAGAGCTGGGCACGTGGGCAGGGGAATGGGGGCGGCAGGCAGGGCTGTTCCCAAGGGCGCTGTCTCGGGGGCATGGGAGCCTCTGATTTGGCAGCTTCTTGTGAATCTTAGACTGTTTCCAACGGACAGCACACCCTAAAATAACAGTATATGGGAGGAAAGTGACACGCAGATAGAAATTTTTAAAAACCTTAAGCAATGTTAAAACAAGTTTTGCCAATAAATTTGAATACTAAGACAAAAACAGATGGTTTCTCCTAAAATTATAACTTATCAAAAACTTAGGAAGCCGATGCAAAGCCCAGCTCAGCGAGTGAGCAGCTGCCCCGGGGCTGGGCCCTTAGCCTGACAGAGAGCGGCTCTGCCCGGTGCCGCCACCACGCCTCCCTGGGAGCACGGCCGCGGGCCTGGGGGGCGGCCGCTGAGCTCTGTCCTCCCACCTGAGGCTCCTCCTGACCGCAGAGAGCACCGCTCAGCGAGGCATGCACCTCCGCCGCCCTAGGGAGAGCTTGGAAGCGGAAAACGAGTGGAGGTGTCATTTTCCTGGGAAAGTTGGAAGACACGATCCAGAGAGGCTCAGAAGAAAGACGGAAACCAGGAGGAAGGAGACGCCTGCCCACAGACCCCTGGGAGCTGTTCCCCATGTGCCTGTGGCACACCGCCTTCCCAGGGGACACCGTCCCAGATGAGCACCTCCTTCCCCAGGTGTGTGGCCAGGCGGCCGGCGGCCAAGTCTGTCCGCAGAGGAGGTGGCTCTGTGTGCAGCCCCTCTCCCTGGGCTGCCAGCTGGAGCCAGGGCAGCCCAGTGGCATAAGGGGGGCCACGTGGGGGCGCAGCAGAGGAACGAGGCGGGGCGCCCGTGGGGCCCCCGGCAGCAGCCTTCGGCCTGCGTGGGAAGGAGTGGCCTCCCTGTGTCCCTGTTGCTCAGGGTCTCGCCCCCGCACAACCAGGGGGATGTTGGCAGTGCCTGTTACAGAAGGAGCCCCTGGCATCACTGCCACCGTATGGCATGGAACCCTTCCAGAGCTACATGGGGCTCCAGCTCCCCTGCCACCAACACCGGACGTGGGCGGGGGCCATGGGACACTCCATTGAAGTTCCAGATCCCACCTACACAGAGTCAAGAACCAGAGCAGCCTGCAGTGGGCTCGTTAAAGCTTCTGGAGACGTGACTTCCAGCCCGGCCTGCATGTTGGACCAACCTGCTCGTCCGCGGCAGAGGCAGGCTTACTGCCGCTTGTGGGAAGCTCCTCAAACGGCGCCTGTGAGGCGAGGTGCGACCCTGCAGAGAGAGGCCTGGGAACCGGGCCCTGAGCTCCCCGCGCGCTGCTGGGGCTGCCGTCCCTCTGCCCCGCGGAAGCCAGCTGGCCCGAACTGGCCCAACAGGTCCCCAAGGGGCATTTCAGAAGTGAAGTGCCCAGTCCTGGAGGAAGGTGCTGGGGTCCTGTGAGAAATGAGATGAAAACGGGGGGGAAATGCAGGAACGGGTCTTCTGGTGAGCGGTCAGGAGGCAGACGGGGCAGAGTGCGGAGCTGCTGCGGGGCAGGCGGCTTTTGTGCTGACCAGACGGGACCGAGGCCCCTGAAACAGCCCCCTCCGGGGGGACCCAGGGCCATAGGGAGTGGCTTTCAGTCTGGGCAAAGGCCCGTTGGGTGAGCTTGGGGTCATGTCCAAGATGCACCCTGTCCATAGGGATGTGCTTACCACCCTGAGGTCAGGACAAGGCTGGTGTGAGTTCTGCAGGAAACGGTGGGTGGAGAAGGTCATGTGGCGAAACACAGACACTTACATGCAGAAGAAACGCCGTCAAGCAGGTGGGAGATGGAGGGGTGTCTGCAAGTCCTGCAGCAGCCGGAGGCCACCGCGGAGCTCGTCCATCGATGCCCAGCCCACAGCGGAGACGAACCGGCGGGACACGGGCGGCGGCGTTCGGGCAGGTGGCCGTCCCCACCCCCGCGGGCCGGAGGACCCCGGGCCGCAGGGACGCGAGGGCTGCGGCCCGAGGCAGCTGGGCACTTGCGAGACGGACGCGTGCTGTGCTGGATGGCGCTTGGGCGGCTCTGAAAATCTGAAGCACCCGCTGCAGGCCTGCCTGTGGTTGCTCGTCGTTGGAACCGCCTGGAGCCATCTGGGAGGCGTGGGTGCCTCTCAGCAGCAGTTTGGGAGTAGCCCCCCCGAACGTGGGGACCCGGGAAGGCTGGAAGGAAGCCCCTGAGAGCACGGAGCCGGCACCGCGGGACCATGCGAAGAGGCGGCGCCTGCCCTGCGAGGGGAGACGGGTCAGCCGGGCTGGCGCCCCCCGGGCCTTGGCTTCCCTTGGCCGTGGTGCCTGGGAGCGCCGGGGGCTGTGCTCTGGGCGTCCTGCACGTGGGACCCACGCCGCTCCCACTCGGGAGCTGCGGGCACAGAGCTACCTCACTGACCTGGCCACACAGCTGCAGGGGAGGGTGGCTGAAGGACATCTGCCGGGCTGTCTCGGAGGGGCTGGTGCTTCCCAGCCTGAGGGGACAGTCTTGGGCCTGGGGCTTCCTGCGGACTAATGGGGAGGTCGGCAGGATACCCCGGGGGAGGCTGGGGGATACCCAGCCACTTGCAGCCATGAAAGGGAATAAGGGGTCCTGCAGGGGGAGTGGGCTGGAGACCAGACAGGACGGCCTCAGCGGCCCCAGCCCGTGGATCCTCAGATGGGGGGCCGCCGCATGGGCTTCATCTGGCACCTGAGCGCGGCCTCCCAAGTGCGGGTTGTGGGGGAGTGGCCTGGCTGTGGCGAGCGTCCAAATCCTTAATTCTGAGTGTTTAATTCTAGTACCAGGTGATTAAAAATTTGTTCAGTGGAAAAAGGACTGGGACGTGAAGAAATAGTTTGCCAAGAACTACATGTGAGCAGGTCACGCTAACATGCAAATTAAAGCTAAAACCATAGACACTAATTTGCATCCCTCACATTTGCCATTTTAAACTCTAGTGCCCACCCTGTGTGGTCAGAGCTGGGGCGAGTCCCCAGCTGCTCGTTTGCATTTCTAAGAGTGGATCTCAAGGAAAGGAACACGCACAGTGGAAGCAGCTGAGCCTGAAGACCGGCTGGGACGTCCTGGCTGGGACAGAGCCCGAGAAGCACCGGGTCACAGCCTGCGGACTTCACTGTGGGGGCTGGACACTCAGGAGGAGAGCAAGGGGCGGCCTGCGTGCGCACGAGCCTGCCCCCCCAGGGCCTGCTGCCTGGCCGGGCCGCCTCCACGCCCTCTTCGCAGCAGGGGCCACGTCTGGGGCTGCCCCCTCCACGCTCCGTGTCTGAGGCCGCTCCTCCCCAGGCGCACTCGGCGCGTCCGCCACGCCCTTCCTGGTGCACAGCTGTTCCTGCCCACGGGGGACTCCCGCAGGTCAGCCTGCACTTGACCGGCCACTATAGCCCTGCCTCGCCTGCTGCGGGAGCCCCCCCGTCGGCTCTTGCGGCCGCCCCACCGTTCCTCGCAGCAAAAGGAGTCCCGAGGAGCCTTGCTGAGGTCCCACTGGCCAAGCCGCCTCCCCTCTGCTGTGGCCCTCACAGCGGCCACCTCTGTCCATATCCCCTCTGCCCATCGCGCTGGCTGTGGCTCTGCTGTCACACGACGGTCCTCGCCTGCCCATGCCAGGCTGTCCAGGGACCAGGGTGTGTGCCCGGGCAGCCTGGCGCGCTCCCTGTGGCCTGGACCGCTGCACATCCACTCGGCCGCTGCATCCAGGAGCTGGTCCCACGTCCGGAGTGCGGGCGCCAAATCAGAGCCACCCGCTTCACCTGAGAAGCCCCAGCCGGCCTGGCCCTGTCAGTGTGGTCCCCGAGGCTGCGCCCTCCAGGCCGCCCCACAGGAAACCGTCTATATTCTGGATGGCCACGCCTCCAGCTAGAATGGAGCCTGCGGCCCGGGAGGAGGAGCGGCAGTTAGCAGCCTGGCGTCCCGCGCGGGGAAACCCGCTGGACTGTGGCACGTAACGGGCCCACAGCCGGGCTTTCCTGGGTGTGACAGGCTGGGCAGCCTCCCCGTCCTCGGCTCCCCGGGCCAGCGTGGCCCCAGATTGGCCTGCCTCCACGTCCGGGAGACCTGGGGGCCGCACAGGAAACCCGGCCTGGAGGAGGAGGGACAGACGGCAGCCACGGGTTTCCATTGGCCGCTGCCGTTCTCAAGACTGAGACGCCCTTGCAGACCAAGGGCCACCGCTAGACCCGTTAGAGAAGAGTGAGCCTATAGCTTATTAATAAGGGACAGCCTTGGGTCATCTGTGCCTCCACCTCATCTCAGGGGTGGTCCCACGTCCGCCACCTGCATCTGGAGAGCGCGTCCCCCCAGAGCCCGACTCTGGAAGGTGGGCCTGCCGCTCTCCTCGACCCCTGAGGAGTCAACGCAGAGCTACCCCCGACGGAGCCACGGGTGCCCCCAGGGAACAGGTCGGCTGACTCGCATAAGTCGGGGCGCTAAGAGCCCCCCACGGCATGGCTCTGGCTCAGGGTGGGGGCAGCCATGCATGGGCCCCACTGGGGGGCAGATCTGTGCTCCAGTTGGCGGTTTTGAAAAAGTAGGGCGTCCCTTTGTGTCATCCACACTCTTGGGAGACACTGGCACCCACCTGGCCCCGTGGGCTTCCCGCGGTTGCCACCCAGGCAGGTGCAGGGCTGTACTCCCCACGCTGCCCTGCACGCTGGAGGCCACGAGTGGCGCAGACAGACCCCTGACACCTGGCGGGACCCTCGAGGCCTGCGCGCACCCGGATGCGGTATGGGACCCCGGTGACCCGCCGCAAGCCCAGCCCGCCCTGCCCTGACACGCCCTCCCCGCGTCCGGCTGCCGCGTGCGGGGCTGGCGAGCTCCCCGCCCCCAGGAGGAGTGAGTTCCGGCCCGGCGCGGCCGCACGGACTGACCTGGTGCCGGGCCTTCCGCCACCGCACGGTGTGTCCAACGACAGGGCCTGTGTTCCTCCGCGCGTCGGAGGCAGTGAGGCCCTTTACGGGAGTGTGTGCGCCGTCCGCAGCTCGCTGTGTGTTTCTGCCGCCACGGAGTCGCTGCTCTGCCTGGCAGTGCGGGTCGCGTGGCCGCCCCAGCCCCGTGGCAGTTTGTCAGGGGCTCCACGCCACCGGATGGGCGGGGCCGCGGTTCTGGACGCTGCGTCCTCCCGACGCTCTGCCTGCGTCGCACTTGCTCCTGCCCTTCCTGGGCGGGGCCGCAGGTTTCCTGGATGAGCCGAGTCGCGGCTGGGCGGGATCAAGTGGCTTCTGATTCCAGAAATCGCCTGGTGCCACGGGATGCCGCGGTGGCCGCGGCGCCCTCGGCCGCCCCCACCAGGGCTGCGCCTGGAGGAGAGGCCCCCGCGTCGGGCCGGCGGCGCCTCCACGCCGGCCAGGCTGGCGGGCGCTCACCGCAGCCGTCCTCCCCGCAGGTGCTGAACGAGGCCGTGGGCGCGCTCATGTACCACACCATCACGCTGACCCGGGAGGACCTGGAGAAGTTCAAGGCGCTCCGGATAATCGTCCGGATCGGCAGTGGCTTTGACAACATCGACATCAAGTCAGCTGGGGACTTAGGTAGGAGGGTCCCGGTGCTCCCTGCAGCCCTGCCGCGCACCCTTCGCGTGGCCTCGCCGCACTTTGTATTGCACTTACGGCGAGGACCTGACTGCCGCCTCTGGGTTGGCTGCAGGTGACTTGGGAGCCAGCGTCGCGGGCCTACGGCGTCTGGGCCCGCATGGCTTTCCCGGGCGAGTGCGCGGTCGGCAGCTCTGCCCAGCCTGCCGGGCACGTGTCCTCTGCCTTGCGCGTGGCTGCCGCTCTGCTCTCAGCTTCCCGCACTTCAGCCAGCGCCAGCGCGTCGTCAGGTGTCACACGTCCCCATCCACAAGACAGTGGGAACGGTAGTTTGTGTTTTAAGACACAGGAGTGTGCGCACATGCATGTGGCCACACATACATGTCCGTGCACCCACGTGTGACAGAAGCGTACTTCACACACAGCGCTGACTGTGCCACGCTGGGCCGCTTGGTGTCCTTGATGCCCTTTTCGGCTCCCTCCCGCTCTGCTGGCCGCGGCCCGGCAAGGCCAGGCCAGGTCCAAGCAGGCCCGCGGTTGCAGCTGGCGCCTCTGGTGTCTGGCCTAGTCCCCCACCCCCAGGTGCAGCTTGGGAAACCAGAACCGAAGTGGCTGCGGGTTTGATCTCGTGGGTCCTTTGTGAGCCCCTCAGGCTGCTGCTAACACCTGTCCCTGGGCAGTGTCTCCAGGGAGGCAGCTGCAGTGTTGAGCTGCAGCCTGGACACTTCCCTCAGGGCCTGTCCCTGCGCAGAGCCGGCCCTGGGTCCTTTGGCCAGGCAGTCCGGGGCGGGGCTGTGCCGTGCTGCCACTCCTGCAAGGCCCGGCCGGTGAGGACGCGGAAGCCCCCGGGACCTTTGGTGCTCGCCCAGGTGGGCAGCAGCTTAGGTCTCGTCCGGTCTCCGTGAGCCCCTCCTCTCGTGCTCCGTAGGCAGCTGGGGTGTGGCCCTGCCTGGGAGCTGGGCACCAACCCGGCCACCAGGTGTCCCCCCCTTGGGGAGACAGACAGGGGCGCACAGGAGTGCGGGCGAGGCTGTGGGACGCGGGTGGGAGGGGCTCGCTCAGGGGAGAGGGGAAATGGAAGCGGGGCAGGGCCGCCCAGGAGCGGCGTCAGCTCCCAGTGGAGCTGGCCAGCGTGTGCAGGGGCCCTGTGGGGGGGAACTGGGGACCGAGGCTCGACATGGAGAAGCCTGAGCCGGCCCGCGTCCCAGGGTCACTGCGCGGCTGCTGTGGCCTCTGCGGGAGGGCGGGGTGGTGGGGCCTGCGGGGGCGGGGGATGGCAGGGTGGGGGCCGCCCCACCTAGAGCAATACCCCTACTTGCTGGGAGCCCAGGAAGACAGAAGGGGCAGTACCTGTAGGTGGTGGCTGTGAGGCCGGCTCTGAGTCTGTCCTGAACATGACCCCTTCCTGGAAGGTCGAGGGGCAGGTGGTCCAGCTGGGGGAGAACCAGGTGTGACACTGTGGCCATACTGTCCCCTCCCTGTCTGCCCAGTGGGTAGCTTTTCCACGTGGTGTGGAGCACATGCCTGCATGTGTCTGTCTTGTAGCCTCCTGGGCTGGCCTGGGGACATGTTCTCTGGCCTTTCACGGGTGAAGACCAGGATGAGCTTGGTGACCATCCGGGCGTGTCTTGTGTCCCCAGGCATTGCTGTCTGCAATGTGCCGGCGGCGTCTGTGGAGGAGACTGCTGACTCCACCATGTGCCACATCCTCAACCTGTACCGCAGGACCACCTGGCTGCACCAGGCGCTGCGGGAAGGCACGCGGGTCCAGAGCGTCGAGCAGATCCGGGAAGTGGCTTCCGGAGCTGCCAGGATCCGTGGGGAGACCTTGGGCATCATTGGACTAGGTGTGTTAGCCTCTGCCCTCACTCTCACTCTGGAGGGGCTCAGCGGATGAGGAGGCCCCCCACCCAGGGACAGCGCGGGGTGGAGGAAGCTCTGCCACAGAGGCTGCGCGGGCCCCTCTGCCCAGGAACACCAGGCTTGGGCCACAGGCACAGATACCAGACGGGCGTCCACAGGGTCGTGCACACGCTCACCCTGCTGCCTTCCCTGACCTGTGGCAACAGCTGAGTAGATGTGGCCTTCAAGTGAGGGCCAGGTGACCCTGGGGTCTCTACCCAGCTCTGCCCTTCAGAGCTGTCACCAGCAGCTGCTGTGGGTAGAGGGAGGCGGCCACCCCTGCCATGCAGCCCTCCGTACACTCTCCTACTTGCTCACGCAGCAGGCGGCTGTCCCGGGCCGGGTGGCGTTCTGCGTCTGGCACACACACGGAGCAGCCTGACCCCCAGCCCCACCCCACGCACCAGCCCTTCATGTGTGCTCCCCGGGGTGGCCTCCAGCTCCCACCCCTTCTCGAAAGCCCCTGGCCCCCACTTGGCCAGCCGGGGGTCCTGTGGCTAACTGACCCGGTGGCCCCGTGCTCAGTGTCTGGAGGCAGCAGCTCCCTGAGCAATGTGTGTGCCGAGGCAGGGAGGGCCCTGGCCGAGGTGACGCCGGTCTCCCACCAGGTCGCGTGGGGCAGGCGGTGGCGCTGCGGGCCAAGGCCTTCGGCTTCAACGTGCTCTTCTACGACCCGTACCTGTCGGACGGCACAGAGCGGGCGCTGGGGCTGCAGCGGGTCAGCACCCTGCAGGACCTGCTGTTCCACAGCGACTGCGTGACCCTGCACTGCGGCCTCAACGAGCACAACCACCATCTCATCAACGACTTCACTGTCAAGCAGGTGGGGCCCGCGGCACGAAGGTCGCGGCACGAAGGTCACGGCCCAGGCAGCTGGGCTGCCCGCTGTGGCCTGCGCAGGGTGCTCCCGCCAGCCGCTCCCACTAGCGCCACCCGCGTTGGCCTAGGCCCCCGCAGGTCCCAGGGCTGTGGCTGGGGCCCAGGCCAGCCCCTTTCCCACCCCTGCTGCCAGGCCGCCCGGTCCTGCTTGGGAGTCAGCGGCCCAGGCTCCGCGTGGGCCGAGGGCCATGGGCCTGCGGCGGAGGGGGAGCCCCTTGGCCAAGTTCCCAGCAAACAGGGCAGACACGGGGACCGGGGTCTTGGGGCTCACCGAGGGTGGGGTTTCCGTCACAGCTGAGGTGCTGGCCCCGGGGCAGCTTCCAGCTTTCCTGAGCTGCCCTGCATCTGGCAGGAGCTGGAAGCAGGGCTGCCCCCGACCCCCCAGTGGTGGGGTGAGCCCGGGAGACAGGACCGAAAGGTGCAGCCCTGGGGACCTTCAGAGTCTGCATGCCTGGGTGGCCCAGCTGGGAAAGGCCCAAGCGCAATGCCCCTGCCCAGCCCCCCCCAGCAGCGGGGCAGCGAGGCAGCTTCTCGAGTTACCGCCGGCGTTGTTCTGGCGTCTTCCAGATGAGGCAAGGGGCCTTCCTGGTGAACACGGCGCGGGGTGGCCTGGTGGACGAGAAGGCCCTGGCCCAGGCCCTGAAAGAGGGGCGGATACGCGGGGCGGCCCTGGACGTGCACGAGTCGGAGCCCTTCAGGTGACCGCTGGCGGGGCTTGGGTGGTCCCAAGGTGGCATCCCTTCCTGGCCAGGCACTCGCCCGGGCTCGCGCCTCACACCAGCCAGCATGGTGCCTGTGAAGCGAGGTGTCAGCGTGTGGACCGCGCCCTCGGCCTGCTGGGCAGGGAGAGGGGCTCAGGTCTGCACTTCCTGCCAAGCGCCCATGGCTGCCATGTTGGTGGGGTGCCCAGGTGTTCAAGGTGGGCAGGCCTACGGGTGGTCTTCCGCCCTGGACAGGTGGTACCAGAAGCTCCCAGGACCACTGCCCCCGGCATGGGCGGCCAGGGCAGCCTTCTGCCCAGAAGAGGCCCCTCCCCACTGCTCCCCAAAGCCCCCAGGCAGGCATGACTGTCTCGGGGCCCACTGGGTCCGAGGGAAGGGACGGCGCTAAGCCGTGGTGCTGACCTGGGGTGTGCCGTCCCAGCTTCAGCCAGGGCCCCCTGAAGGACGCCCCCAACCTGATCTGCACCCCCCACGCGGCCTGGTACAGCGAGCAGGCGTCCATCGAGATGCGCGAGGAGGCAGCCCGGGAGATCCGGAGAGCCATCACAGGTGGGCTGGGCGGGGCGCCGGCAGGGCCGGGGGTCCCCAGAGGCGCTCTCAGAGGTGAGCACCCGCCGGGCGGCCGGAGAGGGCCCCTCCCCCTCTCACCCACGCGGTGAAGCCCACCCCAGGCTGGGGCCGGGCAGGAAGGTGGATGCCGCAGCAGAGGCAGCAGAGGGTGGCTCTGGTCTCCCCGTTGGTTGAGCATGTGCATCCCAGGCCCTCATCTCTCACACGTCTCTTACAACCCTCATTCTCACCCACTGGAGGGTTTCAGCTTGTGTGTCATTTGTCACCAGACTTACAAAGAGTCCAACTGCACTTGCAGACTGGGCCCGGGCCCTGCCAACTGCTCTCTGAAGATGGCCGGCGCCCCACAGGCACGGGGGTCCCGGAGCTGCGAGGGCAACTGTGCCACCAACAGCACCCCCGTGCCTGAGGGGAGCTGGGTGGGAGGGAGGCCTGGTTGCGGGGCCCCTGCACCCCGACTTCCCATGTGTAACCCCATGTTCTCAACCCAGCTGCCACTTACCTGGGGTCCCGTCAGTGGTGGTTGTTTAACACACTGTCCTTCCTGTGTCCCCTGCACTGCCCAGGCCGGATCCCCGACAGCCTGAAGAACTGCGTCAACAAGGATCATCTGACAGCTGCCACCCACTGGGCCAGCATGGACCCTGCTGTTGTGCACCCTGAGCTCAATGGGGCCGCCTACAGGTGAGTCGGTGGGCCCAGGAGGTCTCGGTGGTGACTCTGGGTGGGGCAGGGGCCCAGCAGGGGGCTCTTGGGCCCGGACGTATGTGCTCACGTGAGCCCCAGTGGACACAGAAGGTCGAGGTGGTAGAGCCTCAGCAGGGGTGGCCTTCGGGCCTGGTAGCCACAAGATCACCTGGGTGGAGCCCACACTGGGATAGGGACCAGGGCAATGGAGGGGGCAGCGGGCCAGGGCCAGGTCTGCCCAGCAGAAGGCCTTGGGGTGTAGCTCCCTGACCTCCGGCCGGCCTCACGGTGCCCTCCGCCTCTCCCAGCAGGTACCCCCCAGGCGTGGTGAGTGTGGCTCCCAGTGGTATCCCGGCCGCAGTGGAAGGCATTGTGCCCAGCGCCATGTCCCTGTCCCATGGCCTGCCCCCAGTGTCCCACCCGCCCCACGCCCCGTCTCCCGGCCAAACCGTGAAGCCCGAGGCGGATAGAGACCATTCGAGCGACCAGTTGTAGCGCGGACGGAGCTCTGCAGCCTTGGCGCCAGCAGGTCGCGGCCTCGGGCAGGGGTGTGCGGAGGAGGTGCCCTCGGTCGGCAGCGGCACTCCAGAGACTGTCCGGGTGCCCGGCGGCGGGAGGCGGCGCCGGCTCCTCCACGTTGACCAGTCCCGTCCCAGGGGCCCGCGCTGCCCTGTGTTCTTTGCGTCCTCGTTAAGCAAAACAAGTTAGTAGTTAATTCTATCATGAATGTTCTTGTCTGTGTGCAGCCTTTAGAACATCACAAAGGATTTGTTTGCTTAGCTGTCAACAACCAGAACCCCAAGGGAGCTCAGCAGTCAGTTCAGATCGGTTCCCTTTTCTACGGGAACGTGCCGGAGCGAGGCAGTTGGCAAACTTCTCAGGACAATGAATCCTTCCTGTTTTTCTTTCTATGCCACACAGTGCATTGTTTTTTCTACCTGCTTGTCTTATTTTTAGAATAATTTAGAAAAACAAAACAAAGGCTGTTTTTCCTAATTTTGGCATGAACCCCCCTGTTCCAAATGAAGACGGCACCGCAAAGCGGCTGGAGAGGCGGGAGCACACAGCATGCTCTGCCGTCGGCGCTGTCCCAGGGGATGCGAGGCGCGGCCTCCGGCCTGCGCGGGTGCCGTCCTGCTGATGTGGTAGGCTAGCAATATTTTGGTTAAAATCATGTTTGTGACTGTAACCATTTGTATGAATTATTTTAAAGAAATAAAATCCCAGAAAGAGCCGGCATGCCCAGTGTCTGTTTTAGTGGCTTTGATTCGTGGGGCACTGGCAGGTTTCAGTCCTGGCTTTCATGGCCTTGGGGCTGAGCAGGCAGCCCTGGGGACACTGGGGGGCAGTGGTGCTGCGCCCTCACGTTGTGGGGGAGGCCGTGTGCTGCTGCAGAGGGAGCTGCCAGGGAGCGGAGTGGTCCGAGCGCCCGCCCTGGCCAGCATGCCGGCCCACTGGCTCTCAGCACTGCCTCCTCAAGCGTGCCTGCGAGCTGGGAGAGCAGAGACCCCAGTTCTACAACTTAGAGATGTGCACCCCGCAACGGGCCAGTGCTCGTGAAGCTCAAGGCGAGACCAGTTGGTTTTCACAGACCATGGCCAGCGGTTTTCACGGTCGCCCTGGAAGCCACGTGGGCGCCAAGAGCAGAGCCCCTGTATCCAGGGGCTCCCTGACGGCCTTCTGAGCCCTCCCTGTGCCCCACGGCTTCAGGACGCCACCAAGCTCCCATGGGGAGCCATGGACCACCCCCCGCCCTCCTGGGCACGGGCGTGGCCTTAACTGGAAGCTGTGCCCACTCACCCATCGACTAGATGAGGCTGTGGCCGGTGGCACCCTCCCCACCCTGCGTCTTCCTTCCAGCCCCCGACTCCCACTCCCGGCACCTGGCGTCACCTTGGGTTCCCTGACTGCTCCCTTCTGTCCGTGCCTCCTGGTGTGCCTCCTTTAGTGGTCTTTCCAGCGTGTTCTGCCTGGGGAAAGCTCTTCACAGATTCCTATTTGTGGGAAATTTATGGAGGTGTCTCAGGTTCACCCATGCCCTTGACTAGGTGTGGGCTGGGCCCAGAATTCCAGGATAGGAGCTGTTTTGTCTCCGCCCCAGACGTGCCTCCTGTCAGCTCTCGGCCTCGGTCCCGGTCGCGTCCTCTAGGCTGCGCTCAGAACCCTCTGTCCTGCGTCCCTCCTGTCACCACAGCCCGTGCCACAGGTGCCTCCATTTCTGATCATTGCCAGGACCCATCGGACTCTGTGAGCTGGCGAACATGTGTCTTCACTCGGTGCTGGACAGTCCTCCGCCACCCTGTCTCCTCTTGTTTCCCTCGTTTTCCCCGTTAGGAATACTGAGTGACAATGAGAACAGCTAGAGCGCTTAGAAGAAAAAGGAAAGACTGAGGTGCAAATATTAGAAAAGAATAAAGGCTGAAACTGAGATACATTTATGCCTGAAGCAACCAGAAAATGGCAAAATGAATTGAAAATAGTAGATGGACAGAAACAGTATCTGTAAGATTGGAATTAGATGGAAAACAGGAGAGAGGATCAGCCAAGTCCATAGCTGATGCTTTGACCAAGTTAGTAAACTTGAAAAGCTTGACAGATAAATGAAGAAAGTAAGACAAGTACATCCGCTCTTGAGAACTGAAAGCAAGTGTCACTGCAGTTCCTGAGGTCACCAGAGGGGCGAGATATGCGAATGATTTAGAAGAAGTAAACCACATACCAACACTGACCTAGGCCTGAAAGATCAGATGGCTCTATAGCTTTGAAGGAATTGAACCTAAAAAACAATTCCTCACAGAAAATCACAAATCCAGACAGCTTCAGTGGTTGGTCTTAACGCATACTTGAAGAAGAAATAATTTCACACAAACTTCCAGAGAACACAAAAGGAGGGTGTGCCTCCCAGCTCCTGTTGTGAGATTATGTCAACTGATTCCAAATCCCTTCAAGAAAAAAGGCCTCTGCAAACTGGATCCGAGAGGAGCGAAGGGCGGCCTGCAGTGGGACCACGTGCCCTCTGCCTCTCTGAGGACGACAGCATCCATTCTTGGCCACCAGAGGTGCTGGGTGCCGATGGCTGACGTGGGTCCTCTCTGGGAGTTGACTCCTGGGGAGGCTGACGCGCAGCACCGAGTTCATTGTGGTACAAAGATCTGGCCCCTCTGGTTCACGGAGGACAGTTCAGAAGGTCTGTCACAGCTGAGTTTCCTCTGACCAGTGATAACCGCTCGGTGCCTTGGAGGGTGTTGCCTAGGTCACTCCTTCATGAACTGGCGGTGTGTGTACCTGTCTTGGAGTCTGTTTCCCAGGGAGCCCACCTGAGACACCTGAAACCCAGCGTTTCCACTCCTGGTTTATTCCCAACACATACGCAGACATACAGTGATGAAAAGACGTGTACAGGCGTGATTATAGCTGCTTTTAGCATAAGGATCAAAAACCGGAAGTGTCCTGTCCCACGTTAGAATGGATGTCAGCTGTGGGTTTTACAGTAAAAGCTCTGCAGCCATGACAACGAACAACATGCAGGTCCACACACAGCATGGGCCTCACATGTGATGGAGAGACAGGCTTCCTCTGGACAAAGCTCCCCGATCAGGATGGAAGATATGCTGACCGGGGGCTCTCTTCCCTGGAGCTTCTCGCTGCCCCTGGAGTCCACGCAGCCTCCAGCCGAGTCCCCTTCAAGTCACCTCCCGTTTTGGCTCCAGTGGCCCCTGCTAGGTTGAGCGGCTCCAGCAGAGACCCTGTTACCTGTCCCTCCAGATTTCAGGGTCCTGGTTTGGCCTGTGACCTTGGTTCTGCGATGGGCCCAAGAAAAGTGGTTGATTTTTCAGTTTTTCAGCTTTTCGTTTGTCTTAAGGACATGAGCGACAACATCTAAGCTCTTTATATGCCAGAGCTGAAACTGCGCTTGGTGTTTTACCTTTCTGGTCTAACTCTACCACAGGCATGCGGGCTCCAGGTGGTGACACTGCATCTCTGCCAACTGCCCCTGTGCAGCGTTTGCTGATCGGAGAGGGGCCTCTGTCCACTGTGTTCTTTGCTGTGTGGACACACACAGTGACCCCTGGGCTGGGTCCAGAATGGAGGCACCTGGCACTAGCCACCCAGCAGCAAGACAGGCCAGCGGTCTGGGCATCAGCAGCGGGCACCGGCCTGCAAGGCACACTGAACCATCAGAACCTCAAATTCGTGCACATGTGGTAAAACACACGTTCTCTCCAAATTAACATGGAGGTCCACTGCAATCCCAGGCAAAATGCCAGCTGTTTACCTTTAGCCAATTCAAGAATCTTACCCCCAAATTTATATGGACTAACAAAGGTTTGTGAACGTGGAATAATGAGACTTAAGGGCGCGTTAAAAAGCAGGCATAGCAACAGGACTGAAGACAGCTGGGAGCACCAAGGATAACAGACCCAGAGAGCCCTGCTCTGGTGTTTGAGGTTGCACGTGTGCTTGTGTGTGCATGTGCACAGACTCAAGACATGATCCCGGGGCACAAGTCAGTGGAGAAGGACACGCTGTTGGCAGGTGACATGGTGGCACTCACCGGGCAGAAGGCAGCTCTTTGTGGGCAGACGGTGAGCCGAGGCTGCCGAGGGTCTGGGCGCCCCCGACTGGTGGTCCCACGTCCTCTAGAACAAAATGGGAGCCCTGGTGCGGAGTGAAGAGGCAGCTGCCTGAACCTGGTGCAGAGCCGCGGGAAGTGGGTGGGCAGGGCTAGAGGTGCCGGCAGGGAGGCGTTAGACCACAGGCCTAGCCCCGGGCCCCAGGCTGCCCCGTTTGGTTATTTGAGGAACCCAGCAGTCACTGTCCTCACCCCTCTCCCCTTGGTCTGGGGGTTGCTCTAGGGGTTCAGGGCCTCAGGGACCCTTAGTGGGTACCAGGTAGGCCCTGAGCAGGAAGCTGGGGGACAGTCCCTCACGGGGGCAGGCTTTCTCCCGTGACCTTGGCCTCCACCCAGACTGGGATCCCTTCGATCCCCCGATTCCCTGCCTTTGCCCCGAAGAGGCTCAGAGGGGCCAGGAAGGGGCGCCGAGTCCAAGTCTGCCACTGCGCCCAGTGCTGCGCCCCCGCCGCTCTCGGCCGGGGCCGGCGGGTTTGCAGAATCGGTCTTCCAGGAAAAACGACGTCGGAGAGAAGAACTGAGACGAGGGCCAGCTGCATGGCCCTGCTGGGCTTCCCGCCCTGGTGGCCAGCCCTCCTGCGCGAAGAGAACCGTCTGGTGCGCTGGGCCGGCGCCCAGAGAAGGGCCTTGGGCCTTGTGACCAGCCCTGCTCCCTGGCTGCCCTGCAGCCTCTCCCCTTGGCACTTGGCGTTCAGGCGAGCCTGGGTCACAGGCACCGAGCCTGGCCGCCTCCCCCAGGGGCCCCGGCAGGAAGGCATTGGCCAGTCAGTGTCCCCAACCCTCAGACCCCCACAGCAGCCACCCCCCCAGGCACCCAGGGTGGTGCCTGCCCTGCATTCCTGCACACGGTGCACAGACCACCCACTTCTCTCCCACAGGGCGGCAGGCTCGGTTCTTTCGTTTAACTCACCGCTCGTGGTTGTGGGGGCTGGGCGTCCGTGGGACATGCTGTGGCCAGGAATCCCTGCTTCCCTACGCGTCCCTCTTCGGGCCTTCCCATCCTTGCTCTATTGGGTTGGCCAGAAAGTCTGTTAGTTTTTCCCATGAAATACACATTTTTCATTTTCACCAATAACGTTAGTGATCTGGGTATTTTGAGTATGTCGGCCGACTCCCACTATTCGCTTCTAGTGGGAAGAGGCCAGGGGCGCTGCTAAGCGTCTTCCGATGCCTAAGGCGGCCCCACGGCAAAGGGTTACTCGGCCAAAGTGTCAGTGCTGCCCAGAAACTCTGCAGAGCACTTCGGGCATCACAGCGCCTTCCCCACACTCCGCACAAGTCCTTTTTTTTTTTTTTTCTTGCATTTCAGTTGAGTTTTTACCTTGAAATAACAAAGAGTATGCTGAAAATGTCTCGTATTTTTTTCCATCTGCAATAGTAAAATGGTTGCGAAAAATTCACCCACTTTGGTAAATTTCTTTTTAGTGCACACTGATAGGAGAGCTGTCACAATGCAGTCTAACACAACCGTTGCTAACGAAGTTAAAAGAGAATTAAGCACTACTAGAGCCATACTACGGAAAAAACGTAGCGGACTTTTGGGCCAACCCAATGCAAACAGTGGGTCAGCCTGTGGCTTGTCCCTGGGTCAACCTGGCGA